TGTTGTTCCCATTTCTCCCCCTCCTCGCCCTCTCCTCCTCCTCCTCCCCCTCCATTGCCCGTAAGGATCACGTTATTATTGCAGTTGTCCCGCGGTTGTGAAGAGCGGGCCTGGATGGGGGAGGGGAAGAGCTACCCCAGGTCACATGGCGTCGCGCATCGCGGTGCGCGATGCGCGACGCGCGGTTTTCCTCGTCGCGCCCTTGCGCCGTCGCGCCGCCCTGATGGGGAACGAATCCCGCTCTTGCCCAGACGACGAAGCACGAAGCGCGGTTATCTTCGCGCCTCTGTCTGGGGGTGACCTAGGCCACAGTTACAACAATAGACAAACCCCGCCACACTGTGTTTTCGCGGCACCCCGTGGCCCCACCTCGAGCGTGCCTGCGCAGCGCTGCTTGCAACGCCTACACATCAGAAATTCAAAATACCACCGACGCCATACCGAGAGCTCGATTCGTCAACACGCGAGAAACGAGATATGAACTCGGGCCCCGTGAGTGACGACCCAGCTGGGAAATCATGAGATCGGTGCGCCGTATCAGCCGACGTCACCAACGCCAACACAAACTTCCTGCCCTTCTGAACACAGTAATCATCCCAATCGATCAACTTGAATTTCGTGGCGCCTATGTCCGCCACCGCGTGCTCAACCAGGGTGGCCTTATCCATGTGCCGAGCCCTGAAATCGTCGGAAATGTAAACCCGTCGCGAAAGTCGCAACGCACTCATGCACTTGATGCACGGCCCGTCGCTGCCCTTGAAAGCCGCGGCGGACATCGCGATGGCACCGCGCAGGATTGCCGCCCACAACCTAGGGCCGCCCACGAATCGCGATACCCACCGGCCGAGAGAAGTCGGTAGACACATGAAGTAGGAAGGCGGTTCAAGTAGATTGGGCTTCGGCCCGCCCAAGTGGGATGCGATGAACGTAGGTAACAATCGATTGTTGAAGTAGGAAGGCGCTGAAAGTAGATTTGGGTCTGGGGATCAAAAAAAACATACTTCCAACGACCGGTGGGTATAACTGAACCTTGCCACTTTTGTGCGCCCGCCCACTACGACTGGGCATCCCCTTAGGTTACCCCTCGCCAATCCCCCCCCACCCCCCACCCTTGCGTGAAAGCTTGTCCCCTGGCGTTGCACGCAGTCAACCCGGACGCAACAGATGCGCGATAAGATTGTTGACGTTCTGCCAAGCTGCAAAACTTGAGGGCGCAAGGCAACTAAGGATGCAAGGGCGCCCGTGGGAAAATCGCCCACCCTTCTTATTATTATTATTACGCAGGTTGACTGAATGCGACATGCTCCCACGCCCCCTTCCCCCGCCCACGCTTCTGCCGTGCAGGTCGCCGGCGCCGAAGCCCCGGGGAAGGAGAAATGGGGATACGGAGCCGAAACGTCGGGGTTGGATGCAGAAGTGTTTGCGCTCGATGGCGCGCCGCGCCCAGGTGCCCCCCGACATCGCACTCCCCCTCCCCCCCTTCCTGGCCGGCCTGGGATCGCGCGGCTTGAGCAGCCCGGGGTCGTGGGCGACAATCACGCCTGCCTCCGCGGCGGACGTAGCCAGCGCGAGCCGCCACCTCGGCAGGAACGGCGCGCACGCGTCGGCCACTGCCTCGTCCATGACGTACTTCTGCCCGACTAAGTCGTCGCAGGTCGGCGGTGACCCCCCGACCGCCTTCGACAGCTTCCTGAGCTCCGTTCGCGTTCGAGCATCAGCCCTGTCCTCGGGCCGAGTGGCGCGTCTAACCTCATCTGCTACTGGAACCCTTGTTGTGAGGCTCAAAGAAAATATATTCTGCCAACATAATATACATCAGTTGTGATCTAGGTCGCCTAACTTCGCGCATCGCGCCCCGCGGCGCGCCAACTGCGGTAATCCTCGCGCTATCGCACCGACGCCCTGGAGAAGGGCAGCTCTCTGGCGCATGCCACGACTTGTGGCGCTTTATTGTCGCTGGGGGTCGAGGTTCATTAGGGTAGTGTGTTCTCGCGTGGTAGCTTGTTTTATGAAGGTATAATGTGGTCCCCCGAGTTAGTGCGTAGTCTTGTGATAAGTGTCAGCTTAGGGTAGTTGGTTGTGTTCGGATAGTGTGGGCTTCCATGGGCATGTTCTGTCATGGCCGTTTGTTGTCCCAGGGTATGCTGCGTCTCAAAGTAGCCCGACGCATTCGGCGGACATCCCTATGCATGGGGCCACGAACCACGCGAGGGATGCACAAGCATCGCATGCTGACGAATGTGATGATGCGCGGAGGGCAGAGGCCCGGATGGGAAGGGAGGGCGGGGTGATGGTTATGATGATGGCGATGATGACGATGATGACGATAGCGATGATGGCATCCCGCTCCTCCTCCTCCCCCCAGCGCCCCCTCCTCCAGGGCCGGGGGGCATTGCTGAGCGCCGTCGGCTGGGCGTGCCGGCCCATCCTGGGTGGGCGCCAGCGCGTCGCAAGGCATTGTTTTCCCTTATGTTGTTCCGCCTCTCCTTTCTTCCCTTCCCCTCCCTATCATCTGTTCACCCGACGGGATCAGGGAGGGCCCTAGGTGAACAGTTTCCGATTTTGAACGTGGCCAACGTTTTCAAACATCAGGCTCGTGCCTGGTAGCTGAAACTTGCGGAGCTTCTGGGGCTCCGAAGACGTTTCCCTAGTGCAACTTGTTGGCGCTGTTAATTAATTACACGCCCGCCCCATCCTCCCTCCTCTCCTCCTCGCTCCTCCGCCTCCTCACTTCCGCATCCCCCCTGCCCCCGTCCTCCTCATTTGACCCCCGACGCGCGCTCCACTGCTGCGCGATCTTCGGCGAGGCCTCGCTCGCGAATGTCGGGCGTGATCTCCGCATCCGTCAAGAGGCCGTCGCGCATGGCCATGATCTGGCGTTTGTCCCTCTTCTTCCGAGCGAACTCGGCCTCCTTCTCGTGGGCGTCGCCCCACCCGTCAACGTGGATGTCGTTGATGATCTGGTCGATCGGCATGTTCATGGTCTCGGTCGAGTTGGCCGAGGCACCTGCCGATCGTCGGGCATGCCTGAATGCAGCCTCGGTCCCAGGCTGCATGCCCCGCACCATGCCCTTGTCGACCCTGGGGGGCCTGTTCGAGGATTGCCGCGAAGCACCGTACCGTCTCACCCATATTTTCTGAGCCCTGTCGATCAGGTCATCAACGGGGTCCCGGGCAGCGTCGACCTTGACTTTCCAGTGCGCCCATTCTGTGAACGTGTTGCATTTTTCCTGATTCGGGCTCACCGCGCTCATCCCCCTGGTGAACGTTTGCTCCACGCCCGAACTCGAGCAAACAAAAATCAACCAATCCGCACCGCCGAGCACGGCGTGGCCGCGCGTCAGAAGCGCCGAACATCACTGCCCCAGCTGGGCCCTGGTGCCCTTCCAGGCCCCCCGCCCCCCTTCCCGCCAGGGCTCTAACTCCGTCTTGTAGAGATAGGTTTCGTATAGGTCGCTGCCTTGTCACAACCGACGACGTCTGCTCGCGCGGCGGCCTCCAGAAACTCCGAGAAGCGCATCCGCCGACCCTGGGACAACGCCAAGATAGCTCCAAATGCCACAAGAAAATTAGACTGGCGGCGGACCCGGCCATATGCAAGTGCGAATACCGCGGGCAGGTGGGACGAGCGAGGGGGGGGGGACTCCCCATGGGGTCGCGAAACGTGAGGGGTGCGCCGACATGTGTGGCGCGGACGCATGCGAACTGCACCACTGGGGCCTTCGGTGGAACCCCATATTAGGCCACGAAACGCTATGCTGCAGGGGAGAAGCATGCGAACTGCACCACTGGGGCCTCCAGTGGAGCTCCCCATGGGGCCACGAAACGCTGTACTGGGCGGGGGGTGCTCATGCGAACTGCGCCGGCGGGGCCCGCGGCGACGCGTCCTGGGGCCACGAACCCACGTTTGCCTTATTCTGGCCAGCAGAAGGGCGCGCCGGAGGGCGCGACGAGCGCATGCATCAGATACAACCTTCCACAAGACATCGCGCGCGATCACTGCCGAGCTATCGCGCTGTCTGGACCCGCCGATCCGAGTGAGCACGCTTACCCATGCCTCCTGGTCGCTCTTCAGCTTGGACCTCGCCTCGAGGATTGCCAGGGGCCTGATCCGCAGGATCTGCTGCTTCAGATACTCCGCATCGACCCCAGAGAAGAGGCTCAATCGCTTGCACCTCTTGTCGAACTCGTTGAGGTGACTCTGCGCGATCGCCCCGCTCGTGCAGAATATCGAGAAGGCCTGCGCGATTTCGAAATCGGGAAACTCAGCCCGGACCTCCTCTCTAGCTAACTTGATCCACGACTTCATGTGATCGAAACTCTGATCAATATCTGAATCAGACGGGCTGCCCAGCGAATACGCCTTGCCGTCGAGTACCCACACCAACGGCTTCTGGAGGAATGCCATCATCGAACGAGTATATCCTGAAGAGGGGTCCGCTTTGCACCAAGAAAAACCTCCTCCTCCTCCTCGTCCTCCTCCCCTCCTCCTCCTCCTCCTCCTCCTCCTCCTCCTCCTCGTCCTCCTCCTCGTCGTCCTCCTCGTCCTCATCGCCCCTCCTCGTCCTCGCCCTCCTCCTCCCCCCGCCGCCCACCCCCCCCTCCCCCCGCCCTCCTCCGCCTCGCCCCTCCTCCTCGCCGCGCGCGGCCCCCCCGGCCCCGGAAGGACGAACGACCGACGACGCGGTCGGGCGCGAGCGCGGTGGAGGCCGCCCGCGCCACCGTCAGCCGCCCCGCCAGGGCTCGCGACGATGACGACGACGACGACGGCCAGCAACGACGACCGAAGAGGCGTTGGGCGTCGATCGACCGTCCTCCTCCTGCCCCTTCCGCCAACCGATCTCCCCGCTCCGTTCGCCGGCTTATTCCCCCCTCCCCCCGCTCCTCCACCCCCTCTTTCCCTTCTCCGCCTCGCCCCCCTCGTCTGTTTATTATGGCCCCCCTGCTCCTGGGGACGCGAGCGCTTTCCGAGCTGGCCCGAACAGTTCGTATATGCGAACCAGGAACACGCGAATATGGCTGGCGATCGCCGACACGTCGAACGTCTCCGTGTCGAAGGACCGTATGACCAGCATGCTCTCGTCGGCCGCGTCGGCGAGGAGGGCGCGCATGAAGGTGTGCTGGGGGGATTGCGCCACCCAAGTTAACCACTGCTTGGCGCGCTGCGCGGGCTTCCCAGCGCGCTTGCAGGCGACCCGGAGCATCAACGCGTGGCATGCTAGAAAATACCTGCAGGTTCTCCCAAGAGGCTGTTGGAGCGACTCGAAGCGGTGCTTCGCGGCCCTGAGGTTCTCGCAGTGCTGCTCGATGTCAGGATGGACGCCCTTGACAACCTTCTTGAACTCGGCTCGGAGGTCGGGGCTGTGCTGTACCAACTGCGCTGGCAAAATCCTGCCATACGCAAAATTGATGACAATCTCCCTGATCCGCGCATCGGCGTGCCACGGCCTGGTCAGGATGCGCCGCCCACCGCGGCACTTGCAGACGGGACAGGCGCGCACGTTCGGAGTGAGAGGCTCCATCATCCGAACGAGTTTCCTCCGCTGTATCTCGGCGGCCAAGACTTCGTCCCCGGCGCTGTCCTGGACCATCACCTTGCAGATCTTGCGCATCTTGCTTCTGACGTTGGCGTTGACGATTTTCCGCTTGTTGCGCAGGACGACGGTGGAAAACTCATCGAAGATTTTGCTCGTCGCCTCCACCGTGTCCTCGGCCGTGGAGCCATGCCCCCTTGCAATGCCAAGTATACCTCTGCGAACTTTCAAGTTGTCGTCGACCATGGCGAACCGCACGCACAACTTGCCCTTGCGGGCATCGCGAATAAGACACATGCCAGTAGCAGACTTGATGAACTCCTGGTCCAAACGCTGCGACCCCAACGCCAAGCAGTAGATGTACTGCATGATTTTCTTGTGGCCTGCAACGCCAGATATGCCGTCAACGCCAGCAGCTGCGGAGTGTTTCTGGACGTGGTCCAATACCCTCTGAAACTCCTCCTTGGGTGGCGCCGCCGCAATCACGTCGGCCGACGCCGCCATGGCCTTGTGAAAAAGTGATTGTGCGTGCTTCTTGAGGAGATACTCGGAGCACCCGCGAAAGCTTCGCAAACGGCAACTGGCGATCGGGCGCATCCGCGCCGGCACGGAGGCAATCCCATGCATCGTCGCCGCGCGCTGGCATACCGCGCACCCAATACAACCAGAAGCCGAGCGCTTCAACCACGGGCTGCCGTTGGGCAGTTGCGCCCAGCTACTCGATCGCCATCTGCTAAAATTGCGCCGAATGCGGCAATCAACGCACGAGAGCTTGCTGCAGCCGTTGCAGACGGCATCCATCCCTTACAAATATTTGAGCCAAAACGGCTACGATGACAGAGGGCTCTCGACTGTTCGCTGGGATCTCGTGGTGGGTCTCTCGGGGGCCTTTTGGAACCAATTTTGAAGCGTCTTGGTTGCCGGTTTGGGGCATCGTGGGGGCCTCTTTTGGGCCTCTTGGGGGCCTCTTGGGGCTTCTTGGGGTCATTGAGGGCTTCCTGGGGGCCTCTTCTTGGGCCTCCTGGAGCCTCTTGGGCTCAGCGCCCTCGTCCCCATCCTCATCCCTCCCCCTGATCCTTCTCCCCCCCTCCGCCTCCCCTCCCCCTCCGCCTCGTCCTATTCATCCTCCTATTATAATAAGGATGCGCGGTAAGGATGCAAGGGCTTTGGAAGCCTTCCGCTGTCGGTCATGCTGGCGGCTTTGGAAGATGCAAGGCGAAACTTCAGGATGCGAGGGTACCCTTTGGAAACTTGCTCGGAGGAGGAGCCCGCGCCGCCTCTGCAATCCGGCTCTTTTACACCACCCGCTCCAACTCCGCCCCTCCTGTCACGCGAGTTTGTCAAAGTTTTGCCTAGTTGACATGGCCATCGCGCGATGAATTGGGAGGTTACAAAATAATATATATATATATATATATATAATGACATGAATTCAAAAGTTGCCCCAAGACCACCCAATCACCAGGGTTGATCTGCTGGGCCCCCCCCCGGGCCTGAGGGCAATGCGGAGGACGCGAGGGAGGGGGGCAAGGGCAAGGGCAACGATGGGGGCGGGGGCGTCGGGCGGGCGGGGGGCGGGGGGAGGGGGGCAGGCAGGGGAGCGCGAGGAGAGGCGTGGGGGAGGAGGAGGAGGAGGAGGAGGAGGAGAAGGAGGAGGAGGAGGAGGAGGGGGGCGAGGAATCATGTCGACCCAACGCGCAATGCAAGGTGCACCCGCAAGCAGTTTGCAGGCGAAGGCCCGGCGTCGGGACGAACCCTTACCGGGGCGAAGAACTCTTATTTACCAGGCCGCCGGGTGCAGAGAAGTTGGGAACACGCGTGGCTGGAATCACGCGCGGACGGAACAAGCGGCGGCCACCCGCTGGATACACACGCCGAGGGCTGGCGCGCCCGACCGCGCGAGGGCCGAGCGCTGGAAGGACACGCGGCCGCGCCCGTATCCAGTTCTCGCCCAAGCCAGCCACGTCATGTGCACAACTTCCCGGTAGGCAGTCGGGCGGTTAGTCACCGCGCACCTGCTGCCACGACCCCGCGCTGCCCGTGCTCTCGAGGGTGCTCTCCTGCTGGGCATCGCCCGCGTCGGCGGCCTTCTTCTTCACCATGCCCTTCTGGATGCCAGCGGCGAAGCCAACCTTGTAGATCTCGTCGATGTCCAGGTCCTCGAGGCCGGCGATGGTCTTCTTCTTGGTCTTCTCGGCCACCCAGTCCTGGATGCTGGTCTCGCTCGTTGGGGTAACCATGGAATGGTTGTTGCCCTCCTTCTTGTGCGTCTCAGTATCCTCGCGGCCGTCCTGGCTGGCATCATCATCATTTACTTCGCGACGGCCCTCAGCGCGACTCTGCATGTCGCAGTGCAGCGAGTAGTCGACGCCTGGCGCGGGAACGAAGATGTAGAGCGCCTGCCTGTCGTTCACGACCCAGTCGTCTGCTAGCGGGTACGGCCCCTCCGTCTCTGGCGGCTCTCCTCTGTTGGTCATCTTCACCATCCACAGTTCGGGCTCGAGGTCGCGCAGCCAACTCATAGAACGCTGCAGCTCGTTCTTGCACTCCGCAATCGTCGGGAACACGCCCGCGTACTTGCCGCTGTCCGTCACCTTGACGTAGAGAGGCACCCAGGACCCCATGGGGCCAATATCGTTGCTCCAGAACGGGATCTTCATCAACTTATTCATTTCGTCAAGGACGTAGGCGGCGGACATGGCGTCGGCGCTGGCGTTGAGGCCGGCGCGCGCGCAGTCGTATGCGCCAGCGTCGGCGCTGGTGGTGTAGCGGTCTCGATCCCCAGAGTCTGCGGAACTGAACAACGCACCTAAGAAGATGCGCTACCTCCGTGGTGGGAATGAAGTGAGACCAAAAAAAGGGAGGTGGAGGACGGGGGAGGCGCAGGGGTGGGGGACGTGGATGAGGAGGAGCCAGTGAGTGAGGAGAAGGCAGCGCCCACCACGAGGGCCGTCGAGCTCGGGGCGCGCCGCGCGACGCTCATCCCAAGCGACCCCGGCCGGACGAGCTAGGGCGACGAGAGCTCCGAGACGGCGGTGCTGACGCCCCGATTGTTCGGAAGCGTCTGTTCGGGGCGAGCGCGACGCAGGGCTGAATCGACCCCGCGGGGCGCGGGGGCAGGGGGGGCGACGATGCGGTGCCTCTTCTTTTGGTTGCCCGCAGGGGGGGGGGGGGGGCAGAGGCCCCGTCGCAACAAACAAGCACCGCGTCGGGGGCAGGAGGCACGCATCCTCCTCCTCTGCATCGCCATCCCCCCTCGCCCCCCCTCATCATCCCTCGCCCTGCCCAATCCGCGACCCCCCCCGCCGTGCGAGGCCGACGTCGGCATCGGCTTCGACCGCGCCGTTGCCGACTACATCTGAGAGAGAGAGGGGGATATATATATATATATAGAGAGAGAGAGAGAGAGAGAGAGAGAGAGAAGAAAGAGAGACAGAGAGGGAGAGATGAGGATCAGTTGAAATGCCAGAGACGCGTTCAACGACCAATCCCGCCAGCCCTCTGAACGACGGGCGGTCTAATGACGTTAACTTTCCTCGTTCGTGGGACCATTGGGAATGCGCGGATGGGGGAGAGGGGAAGGGGGGGGAGGAGGGCGGGAGGGAGAAAGGGAGGAAGGGGGGAAGGAAGGATGGGGGGAGAACGCGGAATGAGCCGATGCCGCCAATGTCCCGCGGGGCCTCGATCACGGCCTCCAGAGGCCGAGATGATCGAGGACAAACCTTCGAGGATGATGATGATGATGAGGATGAGGAGGATAAGGGGGAGAATGATGCCGCCCTCATTAATCCCACCAGCCCTCTGGGCGTAGGTGGTTTAAGGAGCTTCCTCTTCCAACCCTCTTCTTCTTCCCCTTGGGGGAGGGGTTTACCCCTCCCCCTACTCTCGTGGGCATCGTTTCTGGATGGGATGGTGGGGATACGCGAAGCGTCAACAATTCTCTTGTTGTGCCCCTTCTGGACCCCTCCCTCCCTTGCACCTTGTCTCCTCAAATGTGCAATCCTACTCCAGATCCCCCTATCGCGCCGTGCGCGCGCAGCGTTACTCTAGGTCACCTACCTTCGCGCATCGCGGGGCGCGATGCGCGACGCGCAATTATCTTCGCGCCCTCGCGCCCTCGCCCACCTGACGAAGAAGAAGGGGGAGGGGGAGGAGGAGGCCGCGGCACGCGAAGCACAGTTATCTTCGCGGCCCTCGGGGTGACCTAGTAGTTACTCCGACCTCCAGCTCATGGCTGTCAATAACGCAATTATATGGCAGGTGTCAAGAATAGTCCCTAACACGTTGACGTCTCCCTTAACGTCCGCCGCCTTCCGCCGAGCTTCCGCCGGCTTCTGCCGCCGGCGGAGCCGCCGAGGTTTTACTTCCGCCGCCTTCCGCCGCCCTTCCGCCGGCCTTCCGCCGAGGGCGGGGCGCGCCGAAGGCGAGGCCTTTTTCGAAACGCCCCATATCCACTGCGAACGCTTAAACTGAGCACCCCGCGCTCTGCCATTCAGCAGCAACTAACTTAGACCAAACAAATCCGACCCCATCGACGCATTACCAAGCCCCCTCGTCAGAGCACGCTGAATCGGATGTCATGTTGTCGATATGCTGCCTGGTCTTGGCGGCGATCAGCGGCGACGCGGGCGTCGGCTTCTTCTTGCGACCGTCAGGGTACCAGAACTCCGCCCAAGCCGAGATCGTGTCGTTCTTCTTCTTGACCGGGTACTTCCCATTCCACAGGCGGCGCAGGCTGTTGCTCCTATACTTCGTCGGTTTCTCGTCGCACGGCTCGATGAATGCGCGGGGGAACCCGCTGCGGGACCATCGGCCGCACGACCTGCAGAACACAACGCTCAGCTTGCCTTTCACCTGGGCCAAAAAATGGGTGTGGTGAATGCTGTCGATGAAAGGGTGTTTGCAACGATCCGTCCACAGAGGGCCCAACTCGGGCGCGGGCGGGACAAACTGTAGCCTGTCGCCGATCTTCTCCATGCGGTACCGCTGAGGAGAACGGGAACGCGCGTCAGCCCTGCCCGCCATGATGCACGTCGGCGGCGCTGCGTGGGGCCACTGGCTGGGGGCCGCAACTAGGTAGGGGGCCAGATGCGAACCCTACCCACGTTTTCTGAGGGGGAGGGCGGGGTTCACTTCGTTCGGGAGCTCCCGAACGTAATGATCCCCACCCTCCCCCTCAAAAATCGCGGGGTGCAAGGGTCGGTTTCGCACGTGGCCCCCTCCTAGCGTAAGCAAGCCGCAACAACTCGCGCCAAATTGCATCGGTGAGAAAACCTACTACTTATTATCCGCCACCGTGCCTTCGCACGTTGGGGCGTGGAAGATTGCCAAGTAGTCCTGTCCTGTTCGTTTTTTTTTTTTTTGTATATTTTCCAAGGACCCACCCCTCTCCGGGACGCGCCTCGCCGCATGAATCGGCCCTGGTTTGGGGGGCCCCTGGGCGGCCAAAACCAATGTGTTGGGCTGGCATGGTGGCGGAACTTGCCGAAGGCAGCTGGATTATG